AATTAACCACTGGGAGGAATGTATGCAATGTGTCAATTATTGAAACTATCCTACCAATTTGATTTGAAACTGTCTCATTGCTATTTGTTTCTCAATAAAATTATGAAAAAAAAAAGTATTGGGCCAGTAAGATAGCTCAGTAGACTGAGACCCTGCTTAGGCAAGTGCAGGGAACAGGGTTCGAACCCTAGCCCCACGTGCCACACTGGCCCACACCCAGGCATGCTGAGCCAGCCACTGAGACTGGGTGTGGTGGGGCACGCCTGCAATCCTAGCATTGGGGAAGTTGAAAACAAGACGATCACTACGAGTCCGAGCTGCATAGTGAGACCCTATATCAAATACATTTTTTTTTAAAGTGTGGTATTTTTTTTCTATAGCTTCTCCAATTAAGATATACTTTCATTTCAAGCCACTAATCTTTACAGACATTGAAGTTGCATTGACCAGTCAGCAACAAGATCTTCTGAATAGCTTATGTGTCTAAAACACTTTTAAACATGTGAATGCTAGGCACTTTTATCAAGTGTCATTCTCAGATTGTTTCAATGCTTCCTTTTTACATAGTGTTCAGCGTTGGCTGTGGATAGGTTTGAATAAAAGAAGTCCATATTTACAAGGATCCTGGCAGTGGAGTGATCATACAGCGGTAAGTTAAATCTTTCTTTTTTCTAAATTTATTTATTTATTTTTAGTTAAATCTTTCTTGTTGAACATAAAAAGGAAGAAATGCTTGTTTCAGTAGAAAATAAAAGACTGGTAAGTAATAGGTCCACACCCAAAATTCTTATGGAACCACAAAAGACCCTGAATAACCAAACCAAGTCTTGGGCAAAATGGACAAAGCTGGGGGGATTGTACCACTGATTTCCAAAATATATATTATAATGCTATAGTAGCCAGAACATCATGGAATTACCATAAAGTCAGACATTGATAGAAAAGAATAGAGAGCCGTGATATAAACCCTTGCATTTATAGCTAAATAATTTTTCCAAGAATTGCCAAGAACATGGTCTAAACACCTGCCTGGAAAGCACAACAACCAGGCATCCTAGCACTGGGGATGCTGAGACAGGAGGATCACTACAAGTCTGAGCTGCATAGCAAGGCCCTGTACCAAACAAATAAATAAATATTTAAATAAATAAATAAATAAATACATTGTCTGAAAAAAATTAAAAGAAAAATGCCAAGAACATGCAATGTGGAAAGGAAAGTCCCTTTAGTGAACGATGCTGGGAAAACTGGACCCTCACATGCAGAGGAATGAAATTACATCCTCATATAACATCCTATATAAAACTCAACTCAAAATGAATTAAAGACTTAAATGTAAGACCCAAAAAGATGCAACTACTTGAAAAAAAAAATACTGCAAAGCTAACTAAAATTGATCTGAGCCATGGTTTATTGGATATGGTCCTAAAAATAGGGGCAACAAAAGTAAAAAATATCAAAATAAGATTACATCAAGCTAGAAAGCTTCTGCACATTAAAATAAAAGTCAACAAAGAAATACCCTAGAGGATGGAGAAAATGCTTGCAAGGTATTCATGTAATGAGTTAGCATCCAAAATGGTAGGGAACTCAGTTGAGCAGCAAGAGAACACCCAGCAAAGGACTTGAATAGACACTTCTCAAAAGAAGACACTCAGCCAAAAGGTATGTGAAAAATGCTCACCATCACTAATCAGGGAAATGCAGATTGACACTATAATGAGATATCACCTCATACCTATTAGAGTAGCTATCATCAAAAAGACAAAAAAATGGAAGCATTGACAAGGATGTAGATTGTGAGAATAATTTAGTACAGCATCATGGAAAACAATGTGGAGATTCTATAAGATATTAAAAATAAAACTATATGATTCAGCCATACCAGAAGTGGGTATGTATCCAAAAAAAGTAAAATCAATATGTTGAAAAGACATCTGCATTCCATTTATTGCTATATTATTCACAATAGCCAAGATATAGAATCAAACTACCGTGGATGAGTAAATAAGGAATTGTGGTACATATATACTGAAGAATGAAATATTCTTCAGTCACAGAAAAAGAAGGAAATTCTGTCATTTGTGGCAAAAAACGGCTAAACCAGAGGTGAAAGTGTTAATTGAAATAAGCCAGGCACAGAAAGATAAATACCGTTTGCTATCACATATGTAACCTAAAAACATGGATCTCATAGAAATAGAAGAACTGGAAAATAACATGATGGTTACCAGAAATTGGGATAGAAAGGAGTTGGGAAGATGTTTGTCAAAGGATGCAAAATATTAGATAAGAATAAAGTTAGCATGTATATTTAATGTAGAACAGTGGTTACTGTATTACATGATATATTTAATGATATTTAGGATTATCACCAAAAGGAGAACTATGTGTACATGTCAATGAGCTAGATTTAGAATGTAGTCACTCTATAATGCATATACCTGAAAACGTTTCATTATATATGATAAAAATGTACAACTTTACCTGTATCTAAAAAGTAATTAAAAATAGAAAATACATCCACATATCTTCAACCATTACAACAATGTAGGTATAGTTTATTGAAATGGAAATAGATTCACATATAGGAAGGAGGGGAAAAAATCAAGCTACCAATCTTACTTTTATGAAAGAAGTCATAGTTTCTCTCAATATATAGTCAAAACTATAATAGCCAATAATTTAGGATTTATTCTACTTTTCTATTTACATTATAGCATAAATGCAATGCTTAACATATTTATAAGATTTGTAATAATTATTTCATGTAAAGGGACAGGTGAGTGCATGATCTTTGGGTAATACAAGGACTTTTTCCCCCTACGTTTTTCTTTTCTTTTTTTATGTATTTGGTAAAGGGTCTTACTACACATATCAGACCCCTAGTGCTCCTCCTGTTTTCAGCTTCCCAGTACTGAGATTACAGGCTTGAGCCATCATGCCGGGTCTTGGTGGCCAGTTTAGCACACCCAGAGGCGTGGCCAGCAAGGCATGTGGTGCTGGGGGTGGAACTCTGG